TAAACTTGATGTGAAAAAAGATTGCACTCGTGCTAGTACTGTTGGTGAAGTACATTCCAAGGATCAGCAAGTTGAGATCTTCCTTAAAATCATATTTACTGCAGGTGGACACATCTCCTGCTCAGCTATGCAAGCTGGTGGCAATCCTGCCTGAATGCCTCTCTGCTCTGCCCAGGCTGCATCCCTCAGTCTCACTGACAGAGCAAAAGCAGTTTATCCAATATTTCCTCTTGGATCAAGGGTTTGTGATGGGGCCAAGAGTATATGGTGTTTCATAATGTATTAATTTTCCCTGAAGGGACCTGCAGCTGAAACTGAGTACTGCTGTGAAACATTAACACATTCCCTTCCCAGAATTAATGGAAAGATTAAGGGGAAATTCTCTCTTCCTCCAAGTTCATCTTTTCCCATCCAACCTAGACTTGCACCACATCCATGCTGCACAGCATTGGAAGAGTGTAAAACTCTGACTTCTGATTAATTTGATTCAATTAAAATAAAGATAACTTTCAGCTTTACATAAAAATAATTTCAGTTGGATTTTGAAAAGTTCCCTTACACTGAATAACTCCTTTTCCAATTAACAGTTCTACTGAACTTAATGGAATTGAACTTAAGGTATAAGAGTTCACTAAAACATGATAAAGCATCACAAAATCAGACTTCACCACAGGAAATATTTTTTGTTTTGTATTTACAAGGATCCTACCCAGGAGGCATCTTGTCTGTGGGAGGAGCTCTTAAGCATATCCCCAGACAAGAAAATACCAATAATAAATAGTTACAACATCAAAGGTACACTAGTATAGCACCAGCAGAACACTATGGTGGTATCACAGGACTTCTAGTTTTCCCCAGGGTGAATAAATGCAGGTACTTTAGCAGCTATAGTACCTCTCTGTGAGTCATGACATGAAAATCTCATTTAGGTGCCTAAGGAAAGCACACCCGGAAACACTAACCCAATACTTTTTAAAGCTACTCTTGCTACCCATATTTTTGTGGTAAAGCTCCTAACTATCTGATTTTGTTCTCTGTGACAGTGCTGCCACTTGTTCTTTTAGCCAGAGGTACCTTAAATAGTCATGAACTGGGGATCACAACAGGACTTGGTTTCCTTGAGAAGCCACGAAGAATCCCTGGGTTGTTTTTCTCTGTTACGCCAGTGATTGGACATAAGTCACTTCAGAATTTCAAGTGTAAGCTCTGCCAAAAAAACCCCACAGAAAGTGGGGATGAAAAACTGCATTGAAATCATCATGCCTCTGCCATGGAAGAGAAGTAACACTTAAGGCGTAACCAAACCAAAACAGTAAGGAAAGAGGAAAATTCATGCTTCAAGAAGACTGCTTTTCCTTGCCAAATAGCTTTGCAAAACTCTGCCTAATTAGGTATCTCCTAACTCCTATGTGTCCTTCACATGCACAGTTTGGCAGGAGGGTTCTTCCTGTCACTAAGCACCAATTTTCTTTAAGATATATTAATTTGCATTGTCCAAGGTCGATCTCATTGTATTTGCTGCCCGTGTTTGTAACCCCTCTTTGATAATCAGTATTTCTGCTCTCACTAATGGGTTAGGCATGTCTGAATCCTTGCTTCTTATGGTTTTTCCATTACACTTTGCTTTTTAAAACCACTTGTAATGGAATATTCTCTCTCTTTCATCAAATTGTCAGTCCACATATCACAAGTAGTATCATGAACATTTATTCACTTGTATAATTTAATGAGATTCTTTGACAGTTTTCTTATGAAGATGTAAACATATTTTATGATTCTGCCAATGTCTGAAAAATCAAGCTATTCCAGTAAGACTATTTTTCAGACACTGAAGCTGTTTCACTGTATATGGCTTCACATACACTTAAGGAGCCCAATCCTATCTTTTATTTACCCAAACAATTCCAGGGGCATGGATTATGAGGATGGGCAAAATTTGGCCCTGTATACCTATTTCATTAAAAAAAAGAGCTCAAATGTTATTATCATCTGGCATCTTTCAACACTGAATGCTTAACATGATTTTTGGAAGAAGTTCAGCACTTAACTGCCAGTGAAACCAATCGTTAGTATGCATCAAATACTTCACAATAGCACTGATAGATCATAAAACATGTTTTTGAAGATGTTTTTTAGGTTTCTGTACATTTACCACCATTCTTTATCTCTGACACGTGATAGAGCAACCTGGATGACAGCAGATCTGCCCACATGCCCTATATTTTGACTACTTCTACCTGGTGGGATGCATCCCAATATACCTGTACAAACCTGTTCTAAAGTATTTTGCCTGTCTGCTCTCACTGCAGGAAATTGTAAGAGTAACAGGAAATACTAGTTAGTGTTGTTCTTTATTGATGTTGAAGCCTGCTGAAACTGAGACAGTGTCCAAAGAGAGCATTCACAAGTCTGTACTCTGAAAACGATCTGTAGCCCCTCTTAGCACTGCCCAGCATAGCTAGTTTAGCCCTTCTATAGATTTCAGCTGTCTGTGATCCAAGACCTCATTCTGACAGCACCAGCTCTGAGAAACTTCTGAAAAAATTGCTCTATCATGAGAAAGTACACAGAGACATGTGAGATAAGAAAGGCAAAACAGCAGCTGGTAGTTTTGAGATATGGCTAGTTAGCGGTTCAAGGATTCAAAAGGAAAAAACACTGCTATAAAAACATGTAAAGTCCTAAGAGAGAAAACAGGTGGTTGGAAGATGGCAACCTATTTCAAGGACAGCAAGGACCTTTCTCTGCATGGCTGACAGATGGCTGGCCAGCAGAGACTCACTGCTTCAGAAGAAATACAGCTTCAGGAATGTCACCTTCAGAGCTCCCAAAACGGAATGTTCACATAGGTGTGAAACTGTGAAAATCATCACCTTTTAGCCTTTGGTTATGAAATTCCACACCTGAAGACCTCTAGTTTATCTTTGCTGTAAGCTTTTATTCTTCACTGTCGATATTACTCATAGCACTAAAATGAGTAATATAATGCAATGTACTGGGGAGCACTTCTAGAGCAAGGGAATCATCATTCCTAAAGCATCTTGACATGAAGATCTGGGAATCTTCAGAGAAGATCTGAGAATCCGAGGAACTAGCTGAGACTTCATCTGTCACGAAACTGATGAAGAGCCTAAAGTTGTAAAATGGCAAAAGGGAAGCTGCAAAACACAGGAATGATAACATCCTCCTGCTAATTAAATTATGAAGGCCTCTAATAAAGAACAGGCAATGTTCCAATTATGATTATTTTATATTAATGCTTTGGCAACTATGAGTTTCTAGTTGTACGTTAAATAGGTGTATTAAAATGGGATACATAAAGCTACTCCTTTCCTTCCCTAATTCTGTAACAGAAAGAAACCAACCAAATACTACCACTGAAACACAATTAAACCTTAAAGTTCAGTCCCAAAGGAGTTTGACAGAGATGTGAACCACAGGGTACTCTGACATGATTTTTTTGGTGTGACAGTTGCACATACAAATTAAACCTCTCAATCCCACTCAAAGTTGTATCAGTGGAAATTCAAACAAGTGTAGTATTGTCCCAGGACAAGGAATTACAGGGAAAAGAAAAAGGAAAAAAAAGACTGACAGTTTGAATTGCACAGTGATCCAGTAAATTGCAGAGATTAAAGATCTTTCACAGATGAATGAAAATGAAATAATAAACATTTTATCAATATAAACATTATAGAAGTCTCATAGTATATTAGCATATGACAAAATTCATTCCTTGAGCACCTGAAGACATACAAAAGTCAACTCTGTATTGCAATGCTTTGAGTAGTTTCTGTATTCAGTGCAAAGACTCATAGTAAGGAAGATGGCACAAAACCTTGAACTGAAGAGTGCTACATAACTCTTGTGGTGTTGTCAAGAAAGGCTTAAGAGAAACTAGTCTCTTAGTATGGCCAAAGGCTCACTAAGCAGTGAATTACCACTGGGGATGCTACTCTACCTCTCCCTAAGGCTCTGACTCATTTTTGGTTTTTTTGTGTTTTTTTTTTTTTTTTTTTTTAAATCTGACTTGTAGGAGTAGCATATGTTTTGCAATGAAACTGCATCGATGATGGAATCTCTTCCCCAACCTTCCTGGGCCTCTTGTTATATAACAGTGCCTGGCAGTGCTTTAGTGGCTTCTCTGCTGCTCAGTGTTATCAGGGGCTAAATCAAATGAATATTTATCAGGGTCAGGTCCCCGGAAAATAGTTTCCATCTGGGAAAATCTAAACTGACTGACTGACTATGTAGTTAGTTAATATTCAGGTCTATGATTATTTCTACCAAGTGTCCTATTAGGACGGCTTAATGCAGTATAAGAAATAAACCCAAAACCTGTCATTTATAGATTTCTTATGCTTCCTGTCGGTTATTTGTGTGTTGTTTAGGTGTTACTCCTAATGCTTACAAGAAAAAGCTTAGTCCCTTGCCCTGGACTGCAGCATATTCAATTAAAGGTTAATCTCGAGCTTTCCACTAGCAGAATCTTTTCAGCTGAGGGTCTGCAGTGCCGCGGTCAGAGGGAGCTGCCAGTCAACCTATACTCACCCATTTATTTCACTCCAAACCTCGGGAAAGAGCCCTAAGGAGTACCTGTACGGGCTCCCCCCCTGCGGGTACCGCTTTTTGCTGGGTACGCACTAACTTGAGGAGATTGCTCGTCTAAAAGAGGCTGGGGAGAGAGGAGGAGCCCCCGGGGCTCCCGGCCCTGCACGGGGAGACTGGAGCGGACCCTGGCCTGGCAGGCTGCCCGCTGGGGACGGCTCGTCCCGCTTCGCTGAGCCCCGCAGGACGGCCAAGCGCCGCGGCCGCGCCCCCGCCCGAGCCCTCAAAAAGGGGACAGGGCGGAGGAGAGGCGCGACTCGCGCCGGCTGCCGCGGGGGAGCTGCACCGGGCCTGCACCCACGGCTGCCCGGGGAACTGCCGGGACCCGCCGGCACCTCGAACATCGCCGAGGCTCCCGCTGCTCCGCGCTGTCCGGCGGCACCGACGGCACCGACGGCACTGACGGCCGCGGGACTCCCGCACTGTGACCGCCACCGCCCGCCCGCCGGCACCAGGGCCCGAGGGCACCATGACCCTGCTCAAGCTGTCCCTCATGGCCTTCAGCTTCGTCTTCTGGGCAGCAGGGCTGACCATGCTCATCATCGGCCTCTGGGCCAAGGTGTCTCTGGGCAGCTACCTAGCACTGTCGGCCAGCGACTATCCTAGCGCCCCCGCCATCCTCTTAGCCACCGGCGCCGCCGTCATCATCTGGGGCTTCCTGGGATGCTTCGGCGCCGCCACGGAGCACCGGGGGCTCCTGCGCGCCTACAGCGCGTTCCTGACGGCCGTGCTGGCGGCCGGGCTGGCGGCCGGGCTCTCCGCGCTGCTGTACCGCCAGACCCTGGCGCAGGGCTTCCAGGACGGGCTGCGCCAGGCGCTGCTGGCATATGGGGAAGACGAGAGGGTGGCGGACAGCCTGGACGCGCTGCAGCGCGCCTTGTCCTGCTGCGGGGTGCTCAGCTACCGCGACTGGCTCGCCTCGCCCTGGGGGCTGGAGCAGAACGGGTCGGTGCCGCTCAGCTGCTGCCGGGCCCGCCGGGGTTGCCAGCGCAGCCCTCCCGACCCTCGCAGGCTGCACCGCGACGGCTGCTTCGCCAAGGTGTCGGCCTTCGTCGGCAGCAACATGTCTTACGTTGCCACCGCTGCCCTGGGGCTGGCACTGCTGCAGCTCATCGGCATTGTGCTGGCCTGCTTGCTGGCTGCCCGCGTCTCTGCAGGCCTGCTGGGCACCACCACCCCTCGCTGAGATCACCCCACTCCTGCCCCTTGTCCCTTCCAGCTCCCTTCTTTCCCCCAGAACTGAGTGCACCCTACTGGGAAAATCCACTTCCTTCTGAGCATCCTCCTCCAGGCTCCATTTCTCCTCTGGAGCCCATGTCAGGTGTGTGTCAGCGCTATGGGCATCTCCACAGCCCTTCGGAAGGGAAGGTGCTGGGAAGGCACCTCCTGGCCTGGCCGTGTCCTACTGCTCCACTGGAGCCTCTGGACTGTTTCTGCAGAGAGTGGTGGCAGCATGGACAGACATCACTCTCTGGGGCAGCAGGGACACCTGGGGCAAGGCTGACTGGTTTTCTGGGTGATGTAAATACCCAAGACACTGAAATGTGGGCCGGGAAAGAGGAGAGGGTTTGGAAGAGCAAGAGAGGTGTCTCTCAACATTACACCATATGAGTACTCCTCTGAGATGAGGAAAATGATGTTACTGGAAAACTGCTGGAGTACACGAGGGGCAGGTCTGGTCCAGGGGCATCCAGGTAGCCATGCCAGAAACTGACACTGGGAGCTGCTTGAGGGACTGTCCGGCGTCATGCACCCCATTACCGCCAAGATTTTCCACCTTTGCTATGAGGGGATTCAAGCTGCCATGGGTGGTTTTCCCGCTGTGGTGTATTCAATGCTCATCTCGATCTAAAGGTGGAGCTACAGTTCCGTTACTCCCTCCTTCAGGATGTGCCTGTCCTCTTAGCCAGTGCGGCACCAGTTATATCTTTGCAGGGATGCAAAGACCTTAAATGCAGGTCCCTGCCATTCAAGAAGATGGCAAAAGCTGTAGGATCATATCTGACGAGGGATGGCAAGAGAAGGGAAGGGCTCCTTGCCCTTCAGAAGTTTCTTTTGGACTTTTGCAGTGAACTTCAGGGTGAGTGGAACAGACTTACTGTTTTATAGAAGGGTTTCTACAAAACAGCCCTCAGACTCTGACATTTTTCCTTTCTCAAAGGATCTGTCTCTGAAGTGTGCCCCCACCTACATTTTGGAAGCCAGATCTGTACAACCTGAGAGTGGTGTAGAGGACCCCCAAGACTTGCTATGTAGCCCTGGGTTTATTCAGATCAGACAGCAGTATAAATCTCCAGGATTTTGTTCTTTTCACAATAGTTCTGGGTTTGTATTTGGAGTTTGAGGAAAAGCAAGCCCTGCACTTGAGAGGGTCCTGAATTTTCAGAGCTTCACTTCTCCTTCTTCCCATGTCCTTAAAACCTCTGAACTTGACTTTTCCATGTTTCTCTACCTCACAGCACAAAGACATGCCCTTCTTACCCAGCAAACTAGGGAGGAAAGATGTCAGAAGGGAACCAAGAACCACAAAGGAACTCCAGGATGTGGCATCTTTTAGGAACATGACTAGCAAAGCTGTGAAAAATGGGCAAATGCCAACAAATACAAGCAGGGCAAGAAATCTTAAGTGAAAAAGATGACTGATAGCTTCATGGGAGGAATGGTGTAACCTTGGGGAAAAGGGGATTGACAGAGTCCCTTTCTTCAGATATTAGGTGGCTGTTTAGCTATGAAAATCACGTTCTAGATAAAGAGTGCAATGTGAACAGCCTTCTGAGTTGTTTGGATATTCGTCTGTACAGCTGAACCCTAGAAATGTGTTGGAAATCTCTCTTCATAGAGAAAACAATGCTTCATTTTTAGGGCTGATGTTTATTGTTTATTATTTACATAATGTATTTTTTATTTTTGTTTGTAAATGTTCCTGTTTTGTGTGGGTTTTTGTTTGTTTGTTTGGTTGGTTTGTTTTGTTTTAATTATGCACTAGTGGAACTCCTGTTATTTTCTCAAGTCAACATTATGTTGTTCAGTTTTAACAATGGACAAAAAGTACAGTTTGTATAGGTGTTGCAGTAGGCTTTTAGTGTGTGAGAGAAGACAGGTTTTTAATGTTAAGTGAACATGTTTCCAAAATGGCTTTTGTAACTTTTGCTAAACTCACCTTTTTCTTCCCAGGATTCTTAGTCTTATCTCTGCCTTTGGAATGTCCTGAGAGATACCTGAAAGTTTCCCTGTTGGTTGTTAACCCTTTCTTGTCATTGGTTGTTTTGTAAGACCTCCTGGACTCCTAATGTTCACTTTGTAATCCCCCCAAGAGCTATTTATGTCGCTACCCAGAACAATAAACTCTCTCTGCCTCTCTCCTCGCTGCTGCTGTCCTGTGGTCTCTGCGGGGGCCATGGAGACCTCGTGGGGGGTGGGGGGGAGGGCACTGTCCCCTCCAGGTAAAGGGAAAAGACCCCTAATGCTTGGAGTCCCTCTCCTTGTCCAATTTCAACGCCCATATAGGTACTTGAGAAATGAAATTTAGCAAATGCTACGAGTGAAATAGGTCACTGTTTCAACTCCATTAAGGTATTTACATTTTGTTATGTCTCCACAGGGTTCAACTAAATGCAAGTGAAATGAACATTGAAATGGCATTGAAATGTAAAGAGAGAAGAATGTTGTAGTTTTTGGTTTTGGGTTTTTTTCAGAAATCCATTATAGAAGCAATAAAATAGGTGTTGTGGAGAGTATGGAAAAGGGACATGGGGTTGCACTGGGTTTATTAAAAAAGTATTCTTTATTGGAGTCAATTTGCTCTGAAAATTTACAAGAATATGATATTGCTCTTTTTTTACTCCACTGATTACTAAAATTATTTCTGATTTTGACCCATATTGTTTTGTATTACACATAGCAGTCAGTCAGAATGAAGTACACTGTTAAAGCACATTCAAGCAAAATCCTTGTGTAGCTATGCACTTCAGTGAATTTGTTCTGGTTTTAAGTTGCTAAGAATATCAAAATAGGAATGAAACTACATCAAGCATACAAGTGTCTGTCTGTATGGTAGTCCAGTCTGAATCTGAGGACATCAGTTTAGTGTAATGAATAATTAAAAATGTAAACCATCACTCTGCACTCTTGGCCTCACTGAAATAGGATAAACCTTGGCAATGACAGTGTAAATCTAAGTATACTTATATCACCAAAGATTTCATGGACTGCCTGTGAGTGCTAAATGTTTTTTGCCAGTTCCTGGAATTAACAACACTAACTTTTGTAGATGTGTGAAAGAAATATCATTCTTCTCTAATTAATTTCCAGAATAAGAGATTCCCAATAGCCCTTTGAGTTCTCCTGAATTCTTTATGCCCAGTGCCCAAATCATACTTTAATTTTAAAATTTTTCTAGATTCAACATTGTTTTGTTCTGGATAGTCAGAATGACTGCAATTGGAAAATGTTACAGCAGACAGAGCTACCTACCCCTTGCTAGAATATGTATTTTTTTCCGTCATCCTCTTCAAATTTAAATTTTAACATCAAAACAGCATATTACACTAAAAGATGAGCCCATCTTTTAAGAAAAGCTAATATCAATTTTAACTTTGGTGGTTATTCAAATTAAGTATTGGAGCAAGCTGTGTTGCAGTTGTAGAAACAATAGCTCTGTTGTTTGGACGAAGTGAGATTTAGGATTAACAGGGTGGTAAGATTAGACTCTTGTTATGAAACAAGGACTATTTTATAACATTGGTCTAGAATGCCAAGAATATAAATCTTTCAGACTTCAAAAGTGTTTGACATTTTGTCCAACATGAATTATTTGCTGTAGCTGAACTTTGTGTTACAGATAATCTGAACTTAAAATGGCCTCTATAACAGATTGTGAATTTTTAGATAAGAGATGGCTTTCCTGGAGTTAGAAAACTTAAACAATAACAGTAAGATTGAGTAGGTCAGAGAAGAAAAAAGATTACTTATGTTAAAACGTAGTTTTCATGTTTATTTATGTATTCATCTTCTTTTACACTATCTTCTTTCTTCTGGGGAAAATACAATCATGTGCTATCATCAAGCAGCAGATATTGTATAAAACCGTTGACAAGAATAGTACTCATCTAAGATTTCCACAGATAAATTACAGTTAAGATGTCCTTTTTCTTAAATCCAGTAACCTACAGGAGATTTTGATAGATCAGATGGCATAGGAACTGAGAAGGAAATGCAGTGTTTTCCCAATTGAATGTTTTGGGTTTCAATAAAAAAGGCACATCCATGGAAAGTTTGGGCACCTAAAAAGTCTTACCACAGTCTTGTTCTGAAGCACTACAAAATGTTGGTCAGAAACTTAAAATATAAGTCACACAACTAACAGAATTCAAGACTTTCTTTTCATCTGAAAAGACTTTTGACCACTGTAGTTAATACTTCATTGGTCATGCATACATTATGCTCCAAAATGGTAAAAGTACATATTTATTCTCAACTCTATTTGATTCAAACACAAAAATTTCATTCTGTTCAATATGCTATTTTAGTTTGCTGAGAAACTGATAAAAATATCACAATTTAACCTTGTTTTCTTATGTCCTCTACTGTCCTCATCTACTTTCTGAGCCAGTAAAATTAAAATATCAAAAGATATAGTGTCCCATGTTATCAAAGGGAACACAATCACACACACACGTTTTTCAGAAGGTCTGTATTTATTGGTCAAATATGTGGATTTGCTTGTGGATGGGACACTGACAGAAAAAAAAAAGAAGCAATTTAAGGTACATAACATTTTATCCTTCACATTAGCTTTCATTTGCAATTAACACTCATTATTCTATTCTAGAGAGGAAATCTTTTCTTAATGATTTAAGACTATGAAATAAAATTTACCAGAGAATCTCATCTGGGCTGCAGAATTAAAATTATCAAATTAAACATGATTTCAAGTGCTCTAATTCCATCAAGATTTCTTTAACCTCTTTGAAGAGATTTCAGTGAAGTTTTGCTTCTCCTGTTCTGTCATTCTCCTGATGTCTAGAGTCACTCTTAGGCTGGCTGGACAGCAGCAAAGTTTTGAGCTAAGGAGTGTTTGAAGCTTCAATTTTAGACTGTTCCCATTGTGTAGATATTCCCAGTTTGTCATATTAGGCTTAGTCATATTAGGTTTGTCATACTAGACTGATACATTATGAATATAACATTTGTGTTGGTTTCAAACAGGATCTTGAGACTTAGGCAAGGCCACAGCAAAATAAAGGGAGATACAATGTTCATATTGACCAAGACAGAAAAGTCCTTGGAACTGACAATTCTTGGAAGACTGTGATATTACATCCTAACACTGCAACAAATAGATCAAATACTGCTTGGTAATTCGTGTTTCTAGTTTTTCCAAAATAACAGTTCTAGAGCTTTACTCTGTCTACATGAGATGTGTGCATCTTAAGGTATCAGCACTTCAGAGAAGTGATGTGGTCTTGTAATAAAATCTAAGAATAGGGATCTTTCTTATGTCGTGGTAATAATTTCTTATAGCTCCACTTCTTCCAGGTCAAAAGATGGGGTGCTGAGAGTATCTGTGGTTAATTCTAGGACTGACTGGAGGGTGGGGTTGATAATATCTTGATTAAAATGTCAGCATTAGTTACAGTAGTTCTACTGCTTTATTACTGCTCTGAGTGCATCTTCTAGGGCTATTTCTCTGCTGTTTGGTTTCCCGACTTGGCAGACAGCACTGTGTAGTGTGCCTGTTACCTTGTAGTAATTTACATGCAAGGTAACTAAAGTCCTATTGTTGGGAAAATGATCTGTGAAATATAGCACTCTATTTTCTGAGACTTCAGCATCCCTTCCACAATATAAAGGAAGCCTATCTAGTTAGTAAATGTCTTTTACATTGGTTTTCAAATTTATTGATGCCTATTGAAAGGGTAATAAATAGGTCTTTTTCCATGAAGACTTTTCCACCTGACAAGGCTTCCTTTGGAGGACTGGAGTGGTGGTGTCCCTTCTGCTTATATCTGCCTCTGCTGTGCTGTAGTTTTCAGCACGAATCTCTTTTGCATAGCAGCTCACTGCTGAGAGGGGACTTTGAATAGACTTTTGAGTTCAGCAGCACTTCAGTGTCCTAAAGCCACTTTGTGGACAAGATACTTTTCTCAGTAGTTGTGCTGGAGTATTATGTCATGCTCCTTGTATTATGTATGCTTGTGTCCCAGTAATCCCAGGTACTGCCATTATTGCTTAGAAACTTTCAGAAGAGATAGAGGTGGAGGCTTGCCAGATGCAGTAGCACCTTGACTTTCAGTGCAGGATTCAGCCAAAATAACGAAAAACAAGGATCAAATCTCTTTTGTCTGCATAAACCTTCTCTCAACTAATAGCAATTGTGGGGAGGGTGAGAGAAACTGGCCCAGTGCAGATCCATGACATTTGGGAAACTTAGGCAAAAGCTAAACTAATTACTTTACAAGTAAATAAGTGGGTTTGGACCAGTTCTAGTGATTACATTAATAATTTCATTAATAAAGTTTAGAAGGTACTGTTGAACAAAGTCATCAGAAATTAAATATGTCTTCAGATGTTTTCTGGAGAGAGTAGAGGTAGAAAATCAAGCTCCCAGAAAATGAGCCTCATCGTTTGAAAGCAGAACAGAGATTAATTTTAAGTCTCCTGGTAAAGACCATTGAGACATACACCTGGTTAATACAGCTGTCACTAACAAGTAGAAATGAAGATGTGAGTGCTGTTTCAAAACCAGCTTTCTAGCATATGTTGTATATGCCATGCTTCCAGTGTGTCAGGGTTGTCATCTTTTATTTCCATTCTGTGTGATGTTCCTTGTGTGCTTATGACATTCGCATTTATTTATTACTCAATTTTTGGCTCAAGATGCTTTTTATTCTTTTCCTTTTTCAGGAGGCTTAGCAAC